TCTCATTCCAGTAGAGTTAACAACCAACCATTAAAATCAAATTGACACAATCTAATATTGTTCACAACCTTATACATTGAATGATACATTGATAAATATTTATAATTTTCAATGAAATCGATCAATACTGTGTATCATTATTAGTTAGTTAGTTTGTTTGTTTGTTTTTATTTAGAACTGCATACATACTCTTTGAATTGAATTGTGTGTTGATTAAAAACTAAATGACAGTTTTACATACAACATAGTGTGTTATGCAATATGTAGCAGAATCAATCAATCTGTGTGCACTCATTCACCAATCACATAGATGACTTCGACAAGACACATCAGCTTCTTAGTAAATTTCTATCTGCTGATTATATTTATGTATTTGATCACATTCTCTGCCTTGTATATTTAGGCCCGGCTTTTTATTTGAAATGCGCAACCCGTGAGCATTAAAATCGCGTGATGCATATTGGATCGTTTACTGCAATTAGTATTTTTACCCTGGTACCTAACGATAAAATTAATCTGTGAATATATTTTCAGTCTTGCTCTTTTTCATGATAGTAAGCTGTCACCCGAATTATAGCTCAATGGTAACGTTTCAGCCTCATAGTATGTATTATAGTCACGTCTTTCTGACATGTCAAGTGACAAAAAAACTTAGATCCAAGTTTATTCAACGTGTACCATTTGTTAATACTGTCTCTTACGTTTATATTTCCTTCTTTATAACACTAGGATGATATGTTTTTGTAGAGATAAAGTATTGTCTAAATCCCATTGGTCTGTAGTTGATTTAATTGATTCAGATTTTTGGTAAGAATTTAGTTCAAGGGATTATTTGCGTAATCTTGAGTAATTCATGTATCATGTTGTGGTGCGAGCTACTTATAAGTAGTATATGACGTGAGTGTCAACGTAATGTCTGGCAGCAGAAGATCGGGGAAGATCAAGAAAGGATGAGTTAGAACACAATGGAATTTGTATGAAACGCACGAACAGTGACAATGGATTGACGTTTTGCAACAGGAACAGTCCAGTTCGATATGATGGATTGATATTTTGCAAATTAACTATTTACGATATGGTTTTCCGATTTTACTGAGTAACTCTGTAATTTTCGTTAAATACAATCCGGTTGCCCCACCTGTGTTCTCCTTCACTACAATGTTACTGAACCACATGATTCATTGTACATCATATAATTAGTTTGGTCCTGGAACTTGATCCAACGTAGTTTGGTAACATTTTTGGATAACATTAGCTGTATACTATTGACTCGTTATAAAAAACATATAAAGTTACAGGCCATTGTTCTAAGTAATTGCCAAATGAAAATTTAACAAGTTGAAAAATTAAAGATTAAAATAAAAAGTGAATACTTTCGCATGATTTTAATCGACTGTACTCTATCGTTTTAGGTTTTGATCCGTAGATTACGACTAAAAATTTACGTAACATCTTATATGATTCAATTTCTTAATCATTTAGTTAATGAATAGTTAACATAATTTTATTTGGTCACTTGTTGTATCCCTCTCTCCAACCTAAATACCCATTGTTATGATGGGCGGTGTCCGTCTGATCTGAACGCGATAAGTGCTAACCCCCCAAACTAGCTATTCGACCGACAAGTCGAGATCGGAACTAAAGTTTATTTGGCTACCGAACCATATATATATAAATACTCATTTATATATACACATACTTTCCCCTTAGAAAATGAATCTATTCTTTGGCCAATGATATTCATCCGTGTTAATTGTCATCTAGTGACCTCGTTTCACCGCCTTTGATTGGCTCACTATATCACCTATACTACTAGTTTATATTGCTTATCGATATAGATGCAATACATATGCATACCCAAAGTTGTATCCTAGTCATCTCAATTACGTCATATTTAACTGTAGAATTTATAAAAATAGTAACGTTAAATCATTTAATCGATAAATGCACACCATGGAAATGTAGCAGCTACACAGTCAAGACAGGGAGGATTAAAAAAATCTATGCATTCTGTTTTCTCTTTTTGTAATCTACATTATGAACTAGTGCCTTAGACAAGCATCAAAAATCATCAAGCGCTGAACAACTATTTTCATCTTAGTATTATGGAGACTCCTCAGCACTGCACCGTTTATCCACCCTCTTAATAATCATGTAATCTATTCATAGATAATAAACGTTTCAATCATTCACCAAATGTATTTTCTCTCTCTCTCTCTCTCTCTATATATATATATATATATATATATATATCAAAAGTTTAATAATTACATTTCATTTTAGTCAATCATTCATTTGTGTATACATGATTGTTAATAGTTCACTAGATAACAAATTAATAAGTATTAGTCATGTGTGGTACATTACTCACTTTACCCATATATTGAAAATAGTTCAATGTTATACGCTTATCTACATAGCTAGATATACACTTACTTGTTTGTGTACATCTGTCTATACGATACACATCCTTGTATTGTCATGTTTCTTTCGAGGAACCGAAGGTTTTTTTCGTGTGTGTGTGTGTCTTTGTAAACGTTTAATAAATTAATTTAATGTTATCATTGATAATTGATTAATAACCTATCATGGGTTCATGGGTCTTTCAATAATTGAAAACAATCACACATTAAGTGCAAACAGACATGTGTATTAGTGATATTTCACATATGTGTGTATACCAATTTATATTATTATCATTATTATAGTTGTTTTCAATTACATGAATGATACCACAATAAGTTTTAATTAATTATCCACATAAATCAATATTTCAAAAACATGTATTTCCATGCATTGTGAGATTATTGGATGACGTACAATATTGATGGGAAGGCTCAATGAGTCAATAATCAACATAGAACATATATGTATGTTGAGCTAAGTTGTCCTGTAACAATCAACACAACAAGATAAAGTTAGGATAAATAGTAATAAAGTCTAAATAATATAGTTTTAAGGATATATAAGGAAGTAGTAAACATTCAAAGAATATAGTTGAGATAAAATACAGAATTATAGACTGTGTGTGAGTGCGTGTGAAAAGAATAATGAGACTCGAAAAGTAGAGAAAGACCAGTAGTAGATACATCTGTCTCCAACTATCGATCACTTACCCCTCTGTTGGGGATGTTAAATCCCCAGAACTCGCTTGATAAATATCTTTATTTTGGTTTTATTTCATGGACCGATCATTCGACCTTGAGATCACATTTCCCACCAGGAAAATCCTTGGCGGTGATTGGTTACTGTGTCATTTTAGTGTGCTATTTCTGTGACTCTCCCAAAGACGTCATTATGGCGTATAAATAAACGCAATTTGAGTGCTTGCATTCATTGTGTGCTGGCTGGGTGTTTGTAGAATACAATTCCTACGCTATATCAAGACTTCTCGCTGATACAATTTGGTCAAGGGATCACAGTAGCCTACCTGGACTCTGGTTCATTGTTTTGTTCGCGTTATTCGACTAAGGTGAACTCGTAATAGTTTAAGCATACCTAGAGACGAGCGTAACACCTTCAACCAGAAAGTCCGCCTCGAACATTCACTTTGTGAACTAATGCTCCATTTTGGCCTAGCCTTTTCGAGCTTTCTTCTAACTTACATACTACTTACAACACTGTCCGAAAAAGTGGTCGGTGATTATATATATATATATATATATATATATATATATATATATACGTTGGTAAAGCGGTAATTGAACCCAATTGGTTCTCGTCAGTAAGGTATACGTTCAAGCTTCAGTTCCAACTTTTTTTAAAAAGATGACTTCATCTGGAGGAACCATTCAGAATGAAGTGGGGCGTTGACTGTACTGGCTTTTTTATTTCTTAGTTTAGGATTTTTCAAAAATCCTGAAACATGAACAGTAACTCCATCGATAATTGTATTGTCTTAGGACTACAGGGTTATAATCCAGTGTTTATTATTACTGCTATTCAACTGAATACCACTCAATACTACTGGTGTCTGATATCTGTTTCGCTCGATATGGCTATCTAATGTTGACTAACTAATCTGAATAAATGTCTCCTATTCAATTTAAAACTTGAAGATTCTATATTCGATTTTATATGGGATAGTCGGTCTCCGACACTAGGGTACAGAATAAATGGAATGTAGCTAGCAATGGAATGCAAGACACACTTTTTTTCGTATTTGGGACTTGTCGTCTGAATGTACCTACACCTCACAGTTGGTGTCCATCTATAGTGTGTCGACTTCTATCATAAATGGATGTATTGTGTCAATCCAGACATAATGTATGTACGCCAATCAAAACTGATTGAATTTCAGTCAACAATAAGATAATCTAAACTACTTCTCGAATTGAATTAAAATAAATTAGCTATTCAACACTCTCCAGTTTTGAATCTTCATCAGCTGAGGCGGTTGATACGTATGTTACGTATGCTCAACCACCATCCACCTCAATTCATCAAGTTTTTGACTATTGGTTTAATGTATGTAGATTGATATAGACTGGTTGACGTCTTTGCGGTGACTGCAGTCAGTATTTAGAGATATTGATTGATATAACTCAGAATCGGTCACAATAGTGTAAGTGTATTCACTCTTCTACCTACTCTATAACTTGAGTCCTATTATTCTTTCACAGACACTTTTTCATTCTGCATTTTCGAACTATGCTCTCAAGCTGTAGTCTTTCTCATAAACCTTGCTACTTAGATTATTTAGACTCCTTAGCCATTCACTTGAACTACATCTTGTTATGTTCATGTAGTTGATGACAACTGATGCTAGCGCACATTTGTACCGGGCTCTGATTTGTTTATAACTGACTACTGATATTCCAACTGATGTAAATTTATTATCGAAATTAATTTCAATTTTTAAACGATAATAACTTTATTTTGTACAGGGTTTAGTTATAGCAGTAATTTAAAATTCAGTCTGCTGTTATAACCTATCATCACTTTGTTTTATGTAAATGTCAAAAAATTCATCCATTGTCTTATTTTCATTTCACTTTTAGGAATTAACTGAAGTTCGACGACGTTTTGATCGAGCACCTCAAGTTCTATATTCTCAGTCAGTACCTCCTAGTGAATTAATTGGAACAGATGCTGCTGTAGGTGAAAATGTGGCTTATATTACATTCGGTAAGTCAGTTGAAGGTCAACATATATAAACAAGATTGGCAGGAGTAGATTCATTGTATCATAAATCACGTCAGTTAGGGACTTAAACCTTACAAGGTTATAACCTTAATACACAATACTAGCCCTCCTCCTCATATATAAACTGATATAGTGGACCAATTAAAAGTTACCAAATGAAATGACCATATTGTGCTAATCAAATCTCGTAACAGATAGGTGCATCTGATTGGCTAAGAAATGATTTCATTTCCTAACGAACAAATTTATTCATAAATAAGTGTTTCTGTATGTAAGTTGAGTAGTAATTCAACATACAAAGATTAATTTAACATATCAAAACTATTTTTCCATTGTATGACTATCTTCCAATAAGCGATTTTGACTTGTTTTAACTCAGCTAATCCA